TTATTTTATCTTTCAATCAGTGTAAGTATTTATACAAAGATTTTAATATACGAATTATTTGAATTTTTTTTATGTTAATAATATATTAATCTATGAATCGTTATATTATAATTTATATGTTTATTATTAAAATATATAATTAAATAATTAAATAATTAAATTATTTTAAAATAATTGAGTAAATTTCATGTAAAAAGAATTGTATAACTTATGAATCACATGATTCTTGAGTTACGACAATCGATTCGTATCACTCGAATATATATAGCTGCTTGATCGAACGTATTAAAAAGCGTGAGCGGGAAACAAACTCGTTAATTGTGTCTGAGAAAAGGAGAACGACAAAATGGAATATGAGGTGAATGAAGATTATTTTACACGGGTGAGTTTCGTATATAATTTAATTCATTACCATAAACGATTTATTCAATGATGACATACTTTCTTATATATATATATATTTCATACTTGGCAACTGAAATTTCATACTTTCCAATTGAAAAATATAAACGTGATTTAAAAAAAAAATTATGAAATCTATTTATAAAATTTAATTTTAAATTTGACAACTTTTAATTGAACGTATAAGTTGATTAATAGTCGATTGTTTAAACGCAATATCAATCAAATTAAAACCATTTCCAATCAAAATCATTAATCAAAAGTAACTCATTTCTCTATTTTTGATCGATCAACATAATCGTTCTATCAAAAATTATTATAAACACAATTTAAGATATTATTATTAATTATGATTAAGTATAAATAAAAAAAGTTTATTCAAAAAAAAAAAAGTAATTGAATTAATAAAAAACTACAAATAATTGTTCTCATTAATTAATTTTATTTTTTTGAAGATTTTGTCTTTAAACTAATACTATTTGATTATTTTTGATAGTTATTTGAAAAAAGTGATATTTCTAAATTTTGTTTCTTTATAGAAATTTTTTTTTCGAATATAAAAGTTAAAAAAATCAAATTTTTAATTTTCAAATCTCTGTGTAATCGTTGATTTTAAAAATTGTAATTTAATGATCTTCTTTTTGTACATTATGTTAAATTATTTAGCAAGTTATCTCTCAGCGAAAACAAAATCATTTTTACGTAAAGAATCACGTAATCGAATTATAAAAAATATCTCTTATGTATTCGGATTATTTATGCAATATATAAGAAAAGTATATTCCAAAATATATCAAGTAAACTAGAATATGTATTCAACATATGTTTTTATATAATATAAAATATCGAGAAATAGTTTTAAGGAACTGGGAATATTTTATGAAAGCGGAAAATTTTATTTAACGGAAAACAGAAAGATTTGTGTATATAACGGATTACCAGCAGCTATGCTTTTAAATTTCTCCGCAATTATACACGCGTTCCTCAACATTACTTTTCCTGGTTGTTATGAAGTAAAATGAGTACCTTCAAATAATTGCACTTATTTACTTTCGCATGGGAAAGAAAGATATTAAAAAAATATATCAAAGAAAAATGCATATCTTTACAAACAAAATGTTCTATTAATTATTATTAATTTTTTGAAATTCTTAATATAAATTTAATGTTTTTTATCTTAATATCTTAATATGTTTACATTAATATATTTTATAATATTTTATAGTAAAAAATTAAATAAAATAAATTAAAAGATTATTTATTGAAAACATTTATAAAATATTTTAGAATTTTTTTAATATCAGTATAATAATTAACATTAGGACAGAAATTCTAATAACATTTTTCGTTTTTTTATAATTAATTTTAATTATAATTCTAATAATAATACAAAAGAATTTAAAATTATCTTCAATGATATTTTATGTTATTCATATTTAAATTTTATTTTTTAATAAACTCTTGTAAAAAATAGCATGAAATATATATCATATATAAAATTATCAATTAATTTCTATATCTCGTAAATTATATAAATGCATAAAATTATTTAGGATTATTAATTTTTTTTTTACGTGAAATTATATTTTATTTATTCACAAAAAAAGTAAAAGTTATGAAAAATTTTAAAATTTATTAGTAGATCCCTGTTTCAAATTTTTATAATTTTCAATAATAAATTTCGCATTTACGAATGATCAATCAATATATTTGCTGATCATTCAATCTGATCTTAAAATAGAATTCCTCATCCATTCAGCATTTATTGTCTATAAAAAAAAACTCTCTTGATTTGCATTATGTCATGCCATGCTCTTTGATTTCCTCTGTTTCTTGCAATTTCTTTTTTATTTGTTATGACATTATATATATTTATTTATGACTTATCTCGATTGAAAAAAATTAAAAAAAATTCATAATTTGCTTATTTTTTATAAAAAATTCATTTATTTTTATAATCGACGTGTTTGTTTGTTAATTTTATGATTCGAATTGATGGAATTTTTAGATCAATACACTGAAAAAAACACAGTAATGTTGAATAATTATGAATGTTATGTCTGAGACTACATTATCGAAATTAAATATTAATAAATATTACATTTCTTTATTTTTCACGAGATTTTAATAAAATTTTTGCGATACATCTTAAACGTACGACATATTAATTTATTGTAATACATCGGTTGGTTGAAAAATATTGTTTTAAACAATGGTACATAAATTTTAGATAATTTAATACCATGAATTTATAACATTCTTTTATATAACATGAATTTATAATACATATATATAACTTTCAAATATAATAATAATAATATTTGTATATAAATCTTGTGCGTTAAAATATTTCGTAAGAGATACGATTTCAATGAAGAAAAGCTAACCTAATTTCGTTGTATGTAAATATGTGTTTTAATATAGCAATCAAACGAGATATTATATTTATAATTGAATTAATTCAACTTTAGTAAAACTGGTTTTCTAAAAATTTTAAAAGAAAAAATAAAAAAGAGAAATGATTGAATATAGAAATGAAAAAAAAAAATATGCATAAGAAAAATAATACGTAAATTTATGAATATATTTTAAATATATATATGAAGAAATTATAGAAAATTGATATCACTGAAGTTGCAATCTATAATATGAATTATTCTGTCTTCATGATATCACGGGTCACGATAAAATTAACATTTTTTTTTCTTACGCACATACATTTCTAATTATAGTTAATAATAATGTCACGTTTTCATTATAAAATACAATAATATAATATTATATTTATTTTCCTATATATACAAGATTAAGATACTTCAAATTCATTTATTTAAAACTAAAAAAAATGATTCAATATTTACGTAATAATCAGATTATTATTATAATATTAGGTATTACGAAATATTCATTAATTATATAATATACTATAGTCGATATATATATATATTGGTAATAGTATAACCGACAAGCAAATTTTTTTACACAAATAAATAAAATATTATAATATAAATTATTTTATCATTTAATAAATCTGTATAATTATAATTATTATAACTATCATATTCATTCAACATCATTTTTTTTTAAATCAAGATGACAATTAAAAAATTTTATTCTGTGTTTTATTCTATGTTTTTACTTAATTGTACTATAATTTACCAAATGTAATATGTTACGCCATTTGCATTCTAATCAATGATGTGAAATCTTATTCTGTAATATCATATTATCAATGCAATTTACAATTATTCTATAATACTAACATAATTTTCCTCGGTCGAGAAGCGACAAAGTATAATAATCCAAGAAGCAATTATACTTGACGTAATTTTCTATTTTTTTTTTTTTTTTAATCGAAATTATGTAATTATTGCACTTTTTTCGTGAAAATTTTATCTTTATATGTGAAAAATCTTTTTCAATTAAAATTATAGAATATATAAAATTAGATTTTTAAGATAAAAAATTATTTTTATAATAAACATTCAAAATGATTTTTAAATAGATATATTATATGATTAAAAATATTTTTATAAAATGATTTTTTTATTCCACAATTTGAAATTAGAATTTGTAGGTAGATATATTTTTTTAAGATTAATTTCTTCTTAATTCTAAGTCAATATTTATATTTCAGTACAGTGCTAACTATAGTTAGCACAATTACCATCTAATCATATATTCTACAACATATAATTCATTCAATATAATCTCTCTTCAACTTTATTAGATATTCAAGATATTCTTTACCTTTCGTTTCTCAACAAATATATTATCTGTTTTTCTTCATAAAGAGAACAATCATAAAATATAAAGCAAAAGTTATAAAATCTAAGTACTTTGTAAGTGTACAGAATGTAATATTTTACGAGGTAAAGAATGGAAATATAGTAGGTAATAGGAATGTCCTCTATTTTCAATGCAGAAAACGTGCCACATCTGTAGTGTACTTAAAACATCTCTCAAAGAATAATAAAATAAAATCAAACTGAATACATAATGAATATATAATGAGCATATAGAAATTTAAAATAAACCTAACGTAAGTTCCATATTAAGATTCGACAAAGTCAAATAAAACTTGACTTTATAAAACTTTTCTCTTCTTCTATGTTCAAAATAATTTTATACATAATTATATTAATTAGAATAATAGAATTCTTTAGCAAACAAACGAAGTGAAAGTTCAATAAATTTTTCGCATAATCTTAAAAAAAAAAAATAATTATCATAAAGTTAATTTTATTTCAGTGATGTATGTTTTATATTATATTTATTTCTATATACCAATTTATTACAAATTAAAATACATGAATGATTAATTTATGTTTTAATGAAATTATGACATAATTTATAATACAAATATATCTATCTTCTATCATAAACGAATCTGTAATTTTCTTTGAGACCATAATTTCGTAATTATTTACAATATTAAATGTTCATTTTCTTCCATCCATTAAATGTTCGTTTTCTTTGACATTTAATAGCCTTTCTCATATGGTTCACCGTTAAGCGTACGTAGTTAAATCTTCACGAAAGAAACTGTTTCGATGCCTTTTGTTCTCATTACCTACTTTTCTTCCCGGAGCAGACCCAAAAAACGACGGGCAAGCCTACGAAAAAGAATATTGATCAATCGTGTAACGGAATGTTCCGTTTACATTTAATGTCCTGTGCGCATGCGTATACGCGCGAAGTTTCAAAAAGAAGATGATGGACCAAAAAGAAACGGAAAGAAAGAAAAAAAGTATGGAACAAGGAAAAAATTCACGAAAAGGAAATCGGCACAAAAAGGAGGACGAAGTGATAAAGAGCCAAGTGAATAAATAAGAGAGAAAAGTCAGTCTTGCCCTCTACTCCCTTCTCCTCCTCTTTTCAGTATATAACATCATTTTGTCCATTCACCGTTCCTGGTCGTGAGCCCAATGTCATCGATTATTCGTTTAACGGGATCTACACGTTCACGGTGGTGGTCGTCCAATCGCTAGTTAAGGGGGTTTTGGTCTTCGGTTGAAGAGTTCAGTTGAAGAGTACATTGTTACGTGTGAACATCGAAAAATACAAAGATCGGTCAATTCCAAGATTTGGTTTTTCGTAGTGCTCAGTTTTTACTCCTTTCGTAAATTTACACGTACATGTGACGCAAGAATCGTATTTCTTCGTGATATCTCTTTGTAAACTTTGTGTCATTAAAACTGCGCAATCACCACGTGGTCTAAGCAGACGATACTTGACATCTGAGTATATACTGTATGAAAGTTTGCATTGAATATAATATCTTGACTACTCGTCAACAGGTGTTTAATTTCTTTTTTGTCTTTCGCATTGAATTATTATAAATAAAAATTTTCAATCAATAATATCATATTTAATTTTATACTTGAAGACAGCACAAAGTATTTAAATCTTGATATATACTTTTATTACGAATATTTAATTAATACTATAAAATTTTGATTGTCTAACAGTGATTCTTAAAAATTTAAATTAAAGAATAGATCGTAAAAAGGGAATTGATTCAAATCGAGATTTGTCGAAAAAAGTGTGAAAATAAATACAAAAGAGATCGAAATAGAGTAAGAACAAAAGATAGAGAAACATAACTGGAAAGTTTAAGAAACAGATCTCGATGTGTGCTGTGTAACCACGTAAAGAGAGAAGCTGACGCATTTTGCATATTTATTATTCGTGAAGAAAGGATTTGCTGTTGGCAAACGCGATAATTCGTTCAAGTTCAGTCGTCAGCTTAAAATTCATATTTCGTTAGCAAATTATTGAAGTGACACGAGCATTATTAGCGATTAATTTTAAAAAAATACAACTCGTTTATCCAAAAACGAACTTTATTTTAACCGGTTCAACACGGGGTCTTTACTATCAAACGTAAGTTCATGAAAATTTAAAATGTAGATGTGTAAATTTGAAATGTAAATTTTAAAACGATGTTTAATGATAAAAAACAAAGGAAAAGAATTTTTTATTTTATTATTCAATGTAATTCAATGATAATTTCATCATTTTTCTAAAATATTTATTGCTATAATATTTTTGTAAAATGAGATATTTCGATATATAAATATTTATGGAGATGGTGTTTGTCATGCCAAATTGTGCCATTTAAACTAATTCAAAAATATATTTAATTATTCTTAATTTTTATAATTATATATGAATTTTTTGTTTTTTTTTTTAAGAAAAAAACAAAATAATTGTATTAATTTTATAATATTTCATGTGAAATATTTTAACATATACAATGTATATATTGTAATGTATCTGTTGCAGGAATTATTGGAACATCGAGAAAAGGATGAGGTAGTAAAATTAGTCAGTACAAAAAGTCATGGAACGACTCCATTAGTTATAGCTTGTCGTAATGGACATTATGACGTGGCTGAATATCTTATTGAAAAATGTGGAGCAAATGTTAATCAACCTGGTTTAGGTAAAATTATTCATTATCACATATTCTACGTATATCATTAGCTTTTGAATTGCAACTGCTAAGCAATCACATCAATAAAATCGAGAATATTCGCAAATTACATAGAAAGCCAATAAATCTCATACGTGAATTATAATATTTCAACTTAATTGAAGTATAATATTTCAAGCAATTTGGAGTAATGGAATAATCTAATGAATAGAAAGTCTAACTCGTGTAAAATATTTTTCAATATTTAAGATAAATTATACATTCAAATTATTTTTTCTGTTTTTTAATTTTTTCAACAGTGATGTTTGATGGCGAAATGATCGAATGTGCATCACCTTTGTGGTGTGCTGCAGCTGCTGGTCACTTGGCTTTAGTTAAATTACTAGTGAAGCATGGTGCACGAGTGAATTCAATCACTCAAACACATTCCACACCCCTACGAGCAGCTTGTTTCGATGGTCATTTCGATATTGTTAGATTTCTTGTGACTCACGGTGCAGGTACGAATTATCGAAATAGAAAAAAAATTGGAATATAATTATTTTAATATTAATAATATTTTATACAAGTATTTAATAAATAACCATTCACGATAATTTTTCATACCTATTGATTAATTATAATGTCAGTTTGTATATTTATTTAAATAATTGAAAATTGAATCAAATAATTTAAGTTTTCAAATTATTATAATATTAATTATATTATATATAATTATTATTTTAAATTAAAACAGATTTTATGCAATAATTTTTTTGCATATATAATACGTATAATGTTATAATATTTTATAATATAATACGTTATTTTTATTTATAAAGAGGTAATTAATATATAAATTATAATGCTATTTGATTATAGACATTGAGATGTCAAATCGTCACGGTCATACAAGTTTAATGATAGCCTGTTACAAAGGTCATATTAAAATTGTCAAGTTCCTACTTGCTTTAAAAGCAAACGTGAACCGAAAATCTAAAAAGGGTAATACGGCACTTCATGATTGCGCTGAAAGTGGATCCCTAGAAGTCGTCAAGGTACTCATCGAGCATGGTGCCCGAATGGGCGTGGACTCCTACGGGATGTCACCACTCCTTACGGCAGCAGTAACAGGTTAAAGCAGAATGTTCCACGCGCAACCCCGAAGGTTCCCTTAAGACGATTACAATTAATGCTTAACTGACATGAGTATTTCATTACATAAAGGAAGAAACACTCTAAAAATAATGCTGTTACGCACTGTCGACTAGTCGTCAAAGATTAGATCGTCAGCAACTAAGTTTAAGAGAACATATGAACTCTTATGTACGTGATTATGATTTCACATGCGTAAGAGATTATATGTTTTCTTGAAGCTAATAATCATCGAAGTAGTCATTGATAACTAGTCGATAGTGTATCATGGCATTTAATTATTATAAAATCTTTTCGATTTTACAGGCCATAAGCACATTGTCGAATATTTCATTAGTATACCAAACTTAGTAAGTAGAAAGGAACGTATAGATGCATTGGAATTATTAGGTGCCACATACGTAGATAAAAAGAGAGATATGATGGGGGCACTTGAATGTTGGAAACAAGCAATGGACGAGAGGTTTGTAAAAGTTTTATATATTTGTTCTTTATATATATAATTTTTATTTTATGATATCTATAGATTATAATTTAAATATTAAATACTTATTAAATATTTATCAATATTGTATTTTAGATATCGAGGTGATCCAGTAATACCGAAACCACCACCATCACCCGTTGTAGCTGCTTACGACTTCGCACGAGAAATTACTGACCCTGATGCTCTAAATGGATTATTAAATGACCCAGATGAAATGCGAATGCAAGCACTTGTAATTAGAGAACGAATATTAGGACCAGCTCATCCCGATACTAGTTACTATATTCGCTACAGAGGAGCAGTATATGCAGATGGTGGAATGTTCAATCGTTGTATAGAACTTTGGAATTATGCTTTGGACATGCAGCAGAGTATGCTGGAACCACTCGATCCAATGACTCAAAGTTCACTCTTTAGTTTTACCGAACTTTTTAGCTTTATGATAGGTAGACAAATAAATACAGGGCGAAGAGTGCCGCCCGTTCAAAGAGAAGAACTTCTTAGAGTGTTTAAGAAAGCTGTACGTTTTAAAAATAAATTATATATAAAACTTTATTATTTTTGCAAATATAATATTGTATATCTTATATTACAATATATTATTTTTAATATTGTTTTAGGTATTGGAAGTGAAATTGGGAAAACAAATGATGGATAAAGGACCAACTCGTGGACGTGATATTGTGTATTTAGATAAAGTTCTTTTAACTACTTTACATCTAGCAAGTTTATTGACTCATGAAATGCCAGAAAAAGATAGTGCAGAATATACTGCATTACATCAAGCGCTCTATGAATTAGTTCGAATAAATGCCAAAGATAGAAATGTAAGTTAATGATTTTATATTTAAAAATATATTACATATGTAATAAATTTCCAAATAAATTAATTTTTTTTATATTTTTCTGTAGGGTGGAAATGTACTACATTTAGTATTTCGTGAAAGGCATATTGTACTTGGGGCTGGTCCAAAATCTCCAACTTATAGGTTCCCTTCACCAAATTTAATAAAAGCTCTTATAAGAGTTGGAGCTGATGTTACAGCAACAGACATGACCGACAATACAGTATTACATCTTGCTGCCTATCATTATCCGTCACTTGATCTTTTTACTATTCTTCTTGATGCTGGTGCTCATATCGATGCTGTTAATAAATCTGGTGATACATTTGAAAAGTTGACATGGCGTAAACGCCCTTATGACGCAGTATATCTTGTTAAATACACTACACTTGCCTGTTTAGCAGCCAGAGTAGTTAGAAAAACATATGACATTTCATTTGTTCCAAAAAATCTTCAAGATTTCGTTCTAATGCACTAGTGTTATTATATAACAGGCTGTCATTTAGGATGCCACGAGAGATATTTGTTATCTAAATGATAAGAAAAATCGACGATAAAAGTTTTATATCTTTCGAAAGTGCAAAATTAGTGTTAGAACATTTTCGAATACGAGAAAGTATCAAATCTATCTTCAAAAGAAAATTGTTATATATATATAATATCACGATAAATCGATACATATAATGTATGCTGTCAGTACCATTTTGTTAAATCTGGGTTTTAAATATTTCAATATGAAATTATTTTGATGGCTCAAATATTGTTCTTAATGCTAAGAAGAAATTATAATTTAAATAATATTGAAATTTAAATTAATTCAAAAATATTTTTGAATTATTAATCATTAATGTGGATATTAATTAAACAAAATATTTGATATTAACTGATGGTTTATTATGATTTAAAAATATCAATTAATATGATTTTATTATTTGGCTGACAGCTTTTCCCTTATACATAAACCCCATTACAAGCCATAATATACATGTTGCGTTGATAACATTTAATTATAACTTGAATATATTAAATTGAAAAATTGTATAATCATAGAAATTATTTTTATTCTCATTGTTATATAAAAAAATAAAAACAGAAATAAGATTCTGTAATACACTTTTTGATATAGCATAGATTAACTTAAAAATAAATTATATACTTTTATATTAGAAAGATAAGGAAAAGCGAAGTTATAAGTTAAAATTTTTCAGTTATAAAATTTTTATTTTACATACAAATGTAAATGTTTTTATTTTACTAGACATTATTAAAATGTATTTGAAATTTATTACTTAAAACAATTTGCTAATAGAAACATTTAAAATTACATTCATATTATATTAATTTATAATCTTTAAGGTTACCTTTATTTAAAATGTGATAAATATACATATACATAATAAATATTATATAGATTATATATAAGAATTAAATATGCGAGGTGTGTTCTAGTAAGGTGCTTTTTTTGAAAATAAACAAATACACTTGACACTAAGTAGCACGACTGTAACAATTTCCTCACAATAATGCATCTAGAATTTATAATTTTATTAAGATCTTGATGTAATTTTTGTACTTTTGGAACACCTTTCTGTTTTAGTAATTACATTCACGCACTTTTTATTCTTACACAGACACTGCAATTCTCTACAAAAAAAGTATCTTACATTCAAAGTCACCCAATTAACTGTTTTATAATATGAAGACTGTGGAAATACAGGTGTGATTAATAATATATTGAGATTTGCTCATTTATTTTTATTTAATAATATTCCAATGGATTTTCATCCTACAAAACTTACCGCTCAATTACCTTTCACTTGGATGATAGCTTTCCTGGAAGAACAACACATTCATAAAAATCTGTTGTACAAATCCTGTAACTTACCCAACTTTCCTGTAAGGTGTTAGCCGCAATTTAAAAATGATTAATATACTCAAAATATATTTAGTCTGATCCTCCATAATAAAATTTTATTTTCAGGCACATATTCAAACAATTTCGACAATGAACGTTTAAACGATATCAAAGAGGAGATACTATATCCCTATTTTCCCATATTTGTCGAAACATGTAACATCCTTCTTCCAAAATATCTCATAGAATAATAAAACACAACTGATCAATCACTTACGATGGAAATAATACAACAAACCATTGCACACGATCTCATGCGTTATAAAGTAAAACCCTATCTGACTTCAATGACATTATAAGAAAAAAAAGACCACATCCTTCAAATGTTAAGAAACAAATTTGGCAACCACACAGCGGAGATCGACGATGGTTATTAAAAAATTCCATACGCATAGTGATTTGAACACACATAAAATATTTAATTGGCAATTACGGCAAAGACTAGAGCATAATATATTTACCACCACTTACCATACGAATTATAGTATCAAGTTATGAAAGTAATTGTTTCTTACTTTATATAAATTCACTTAAAATATAGATTTTTGCAATCATTTAAACTATTTTTTAATAAATAATATGGAAGATACGGTCTCGATACTACAATAAAATAAGAATCAACCACAATGTTAAAGATGAAATGCTACATTACCAAAGTTTTAACTTTTTCAAAACCTGTAAAATCCACTACTTCAATATAGCAAAAATTGTTAATACTTATAAGAAGAATACTATATATAACTTAATAATTCGAATATTACTTTAATGATGCATTCCATTGGACATTGATGAAAGAACAAATATTTGATCAATTTCAAGCAAATTATTCCTTCTTGAAATATATTCATTATAGAGGAATAGAAAACCACAATCACCTGAAAAATATCTCACCTGCGATGTAAACAAATATTTATCTCACAAATTGTGAAGCTTACAGATTTCAAAAGTAAGCATGGAGTACTACTATGTAGAGGTACAATTATAAAATTTTTAAGCAGAAATTTTTGCTTAAGTGCAATACATTTGAAAAAAGTTATTCAGGTAAATGTATTGCACACATAAAAGTAGCAGAAACGATATCCTCTATGCCAATGCATATCCAGTTTAAACCTGCTTAAAGTATAAAGAATCACAACAACACAGAAATAAAACACAACGACGAGCATATTTTTTGTAGTCAAAACGGATTTGGATTTTATTCAATCACTGTCATGATGTCGTGGTTATACAAGAGTGTTATACAATGCGCAGAATGTTCCTCGAGATCTACATGGCGAGAGGAAATATGTTTACCAAAGAATATATTTATAAAATTAGTTGAAAAGAGCTGTTACTCGATTTCTTAAAATCCGAAAGATATTAAAAATTGTTTCTTAGACAAAGATATTTTGTATTTTTTGGTAAACATATTATTGTTGCACAATAAGTAAGACAAATTCTGCAATATATAAGACAAATCATCCAATATTTGTTCACTGAAGTCTCGAAACGAGTGAACTGAAAGGGATCTTCCTAATGACAACTAAAATTTTGTATGCTCAACTACAATTGAATCTCCAAGTTACTAGAACGATATGACGCGACGTGAATAAAAGATCAAATCGCAGAACTACAATGAAAACAATATAGTCCCCTGTTGAGCCATGATGTATCTTGCTATGTATTGGATACAAGAATAAAGTGCGACGATACCACAGACAAATCGACACACGTCCACGATCTGTGTAGGATTGTGCATGAAAGTATCTATCATACATAGATAAACTTTAACTTGTAAAATCCGTAACAGCTATATCGCGTTAATATTTATGCTTGAAAGATTAATCTGTCCCTGCTCGATAAACCACTCCGCGAACGACCAAAGCGTCATGTTCAATCGGAATGTGGGAAAATCGATTGATCTCTCATCGTGAAAACTAAGAAATAAACTTACAAGTTACATTTGATAATTACTGTAAATAGCATAAACCTATATACTGAAAAACCTATAGATTACGTAGAACATTATGAACCTAAATCTAACAACTAAACTATGTATCGATCACTCGAAAAAATTAATTTAAGAGTGAACAATTAGTAGACTTCCACTGTAAAAAGGAACGATAATCTGGTAAAAGAATTTCGAATGAAATAGTCGTAGCAAGGAAGGGTGATCATCGGCAGCCAATAAGTGTTTCAACGTTGAAGTAGCCATAAAACACAACTGTTGATCTTCCAACGACAGATACTTCTCACCCACTGTCCTAAGTTCTGCCACACTACTAGGATGAATTTCAAGTATTGTCATCAGGAGTGGAACAATCCTGCAGACGACATACGAACACCCAGTCTCCTCTCGCTGCATCAATAAGTTATGGTTAAGCGTCAAATTCTGCAGAAGTTCTCTATTAATGTTACCTTGAGTTTCCAGTTTTTAGTAAAGGCGAACATCGATCGTTCTGCCATCGATACGTGACCGATTCATCATAGCTATATATAAAAATCGTTAAGAAAAATCTTTGCAAATATTAAATTAAAATTTAATGTAAAAATGATCTGTATTATATGTTTTTAATTTTATGATTAAACCTTAAAAAGGATACACACAGCGCGTTCAGCATCCCATTCAGATGCGAATCGTACCATGCCCATATCAGTACCCCGCATTTCAGCAAATTTGACCTCTCCAACGTCTTGGAATTTATCGCGCAACATTTGCCATGTTGTATTTGGAGGAAGCTATTACAATTATTATGTATTAAAAAATCATAAAAATTAATTTTCATATATAAATTTTCATTCAAATTTTTCATTCAAAAAGTGCATACATTTCCTATAAGAATAGTATCCGACATTGGCCGTGAACCATTTGTATTTTGTCTGTTGCCACCTCCACCTTGTCCCTGATTTCCAGCGAAACCACCACCTCCACCAGGAACACGATCGTTGTCTCCTCTGTTGAATCCACCATCAAAATCTCTGCCCCCACCGAAGTTAGAACCACCAAAAGCATTGTTTCCACCGAAGCCTACATCATTGTCCATTTTAGATAAGCCTCGCGGCGCAAATGAATTGTTGCTTTGTCCACCAGCTAAAGAGGCTTGTAAATTAGACAAACCTCCAACTCCTCCGCCGAAGTTATTTAGATTAGAAGCCAATTCATTTGTTAATGACGAATTTAGCAAAGAACTCGTGGTCAGGTTAGCACTCAAACCTCCAGCAAGACTTGCTTGAAGAGCTGCTGCATTTGTATTTGTCAACGCAGATGCTATAATAAATATATAAATATATTTTCGTTAGCATCATAATTATCTTATTTTGTTATATATATTACATTTATAATAAAACCTACTTACCTAACTGTGCTGGTACAACATTATTTAAACCAGCCCCAAAAGCACCAGCAGCTAATACAGGAGCAGAAATAGGATTCACAACGGGTGGATTATTTGCTTGTACATTAGGAATGTTTCTAGCTACATCCATTAGTCTATTACCACCAGCTCCAAGTCCCATTCCAATTCCTTTTAAACCTATTTTAAATATAATTATTATATATATTAATTTGTATGCCTATATAAGAAAGTAGGATTTTTTAGATCATAAAGATATACCTTCTGGTAATTTTGGTGGCATATCTGGTTCATTTGCTCTATCAAGTCTTACAGTCATACGTCTGTCATAAAGTTGTTGATTGTGCAGCATTGATATAGCTTGCACAGATTCTACTGGATGATCATATTCTACCACACCAAATCCTCGTGATTTACCATCTTTATCTTTTCCTAATTCAACATGTAGTACTTTACCAGCTAATTTAAATACTTCCAATAATTTCTTTTCATCCACTTTGTAATCAAGCTAAATATATAAGGTAGAATACTTAAATTTTTTATCATTATTTAGAGTTATTAAAGTTTAAAAAATACAGCTTGTATAAAAAAATACTTACATTTGCTACAAATACTCTAGTAACTAAAGGTCCATTAATACCTAAAGATTCTAAAAATTGAGTACTTAGACCATAGGTATTTCCAAATTTACTATCACCACCACCGCCGCCGCCGCCACCACCTCCACCACCACCACCACCACCACCAGCAGGAGCATTCATATTCTGACGCCCTCCACCTTGTGGTCTTGGTGGATCTCTAAATCTATCATCACGAACCCTTTCATTGTTACGAGCTGTTGCCAAGCGACCATATTTATCTCGTTCAACATCAAAATCCTAAAATAAATAAATATTGTAAAATATATTCCTAACACAAAATATGATAATAATTTATGATAATAATAGGATATAAGGAAGTTGAGAAAATAACAATATACTAACTACCTCTTTGACGACCAGCTTTCTTCCTTTGATATCATATCGGTGCATTTTTTCTACAGCAATTTTTACTGAATCTGAATCTTCAAACTCAACAATACCACAACCTCTTGGTTTATCATTTTCATCAGTAAAAAGTTCTACATGAGCAACTTTTCCAACTTCTGTGCGGAATAAGTCCTTTAGATCTTGCCAACGGAAATCATAGGGAATGTTTGATACATAGATTCGTCGATCTGAAGCTTTTCGACCACCACGATCGTTTCGTTCCCTACTACGATCACGACTTGTAGAATTTATACGATTTTGTCGATCTTGTCTTCTATTACGATCACGTTCTCTACTTCGGTCCCTTTCATCATTATTCTGCACTTGACCCCTAATGTTTAATATGATTATGTAGAATAATATGTATAAAAAAAATTTTTATAGTTTTTTATTAATATATGAATAGATTTTACTCGAATAGAGTTTTTTATTTATGATTTACATAAACTTTAGTTAAAAATATGCAATCAAAATAATACTTTTTCAAAAATTTTATGCTACTGTTATACGGAAAATGTATTAGCGTCGGTTTAATTGAACATGATTCTTCGTGCCGACAAGGAACTTGAAGATAAATTATTATAAATACAGATTTTATACTTACTCCTCTTGTTTAATCATCCTTGAGAATTCTTTCACTGAATGAACTAAATCAATCAAGGAACTTATATTAAAGTTCGAAATTAAAAAGAGTAAAAGATACCGAGCATGCAAACATACGCGACACGAAGCGTCTTATAAAATGGCCGATCAAGGAAATGCTAAACCACACCGGAAACTACTGTATTCAAAAATAGGTATTTATTTAAAAAGAATCATACAAAATTCAAAAATTCAGTTAAAACATTTCGATAATTATTACATTGTTATATTACAATTATAAATTATTTTTGTTATATTTAAATAAAATCTTTTTATATGTTCTATAGAGTTATATTATAATCTTAAAAATGATTTGATTAAAAATATTCAGATTCAAATTATTGGATTCGGAAAAATTAAAATTCAATTTTGTAACCAATCAAAGTTTTCCTGATCAAACTCGATACTTAAATTTTTTTTCAAATATAAAAATATTACAAAAATATTGAAAAAATTTCTTAATATTTTTATTTTATTAATTTATTTTAGAGAATAATAATAAAAATTTAAAAAACAATGATATTATTATAAAAAAATTTTTTTCATTCGTCATTATTTTATAAATCAAAATGTCGGTACATATGGAGTCACTCGTCATATCCTATATATCATCAATTATATTTCCTCGCAAAATAGAATAATCTCTATCTTACAAAATTTTGTATTCCATGTTTTATATTCTGTATTAATCATATAAAAAATTAGAAGTTCAATTATAAATTAGATATAAAATAGAACTATCATCTATTATATTTTCATATAATATAGTTTAGATTGTGACATGAAAATGCATTGAATGATAAATATATAAGATGGTATGTCTATTTGATTATCTTGTCTGTGACTAGTAGTATGTAGTTTTCGAATTATATGACAGAAAAATACATTGGATGATAGATCTATTGAATATTTAATCTGTGGTTTCGTTTCTGTATAGCAGAAGACATTGTTTCGCGGGAACCAATCACAAGTGCGATTCATTCCTCGTTTTGGTGTTGGTTCGACGTGCGCACTACTTTGGGTGGTGGAAGTTCGTGTTTTTATTGTAAAATTTACAGTGAGAATGGCAGCGCAGTGGATACGAAATGCAGTAAGTAACACCTGTCAATCAAGAAATCTCAGAAACAAGCATGTTGTAAATGTAATTTTACCTCTTCCCAGATGACAAGGTTAGAATTCTTCATAGATTGGTTATATATCTTTCTGCTGAGTTCTAATGTATTAGTAATGATATTATCTATCCATATATCATTTATCTTTTTTTCTTGTCTTTCTTTAACATTATATTATTTTTCTAATATCACCTTTATATTATGTTTTTTTATTAAGTATAATATTATTTTGTGCACATTTTTATGAATAACTATTAATATCGATATTTGATTAACAGGTTCCAAAAATTGGCTGCGTCCGTTTTTACAGTAGTAAAGTTCATAAATGTACACTTATTCCCGGAGATGGCATCGGGCCTGAAATTTCTATTGCTGTTCAAAAAATTTTTGATGCTGCTAAGGTAAACTGGTTTTTACATATAATTTTGTAAGTTAATAATTTTTGTTATGCACGATATTTTTATGTAATATGCATGTTCTATAGAAATAGAATAGAAATGTTGAATAGAAATGTTCATAGCATGTTCAGTATTTCTGTTATATTTTTATATAGTGTAAGAGTATTGTGTATTTGTTTGTATTTTTGCATTATTTGTTTGAACCTTACAAGGTGACCCCATGTGTCCTACTACTAACCTTAAGGAGTTTATTTTAATCTTACTCTTATACAGGTTGATCCAATTGTAGGCTAATTCAGTCTGCTCTTATTGTAGTTAAGGTATGTTTTTTATTTTATATATTTTTTTTTATAAATATGTAATGTATATTATGTGTAAACTTTAATTAAATACATCAAATTATTAAATTATTTTTATGTTTAATGATAATGTATAAAATAGTGTTAATATTAAAAAAAGCAACAATGCATTATTTCTCAGCATGAATGAAAAAATTTTAATAGTATCATTCATATATCATGTATTGCATAACACTGTTACTCAACTTTTAGTATTTATATGTACATTAATATATGTGTCTATGTATTTTTTGATATAATAATAATAATGAAAATGAATGTATTTAATATTAAATAAGATTTTATTAAAATATTTTCTATTTCTTATAATATGCAAGTATAATATAAGTATAAATATATAATATTTATAATTTTTATATTATCTTTAACATTAGGTACCAATAGAATGGGAATCTGTTGATGTAACACCAGTAAAAGGTCCAGATGGAAAATTTGGTATTCCACAAGCTGCCATTGATTCAGTTAATAGAAATAAAATTGGTTTGAAAGGACCATTAATGACACCAGTAGGAAAAGGACACAGATCTTTAAATCTTGCACTAAGAAAGTAGGTTTACTTTTTATCTTTGTATAATTAAGAATTCTTCTTTAATTATACATAATTTCTTATTCACATATTTTCTTATTCTTAAGATATCTATCTTAATTTATTTAAATTATATAATCATGAATATTATTGTAAACGTATCATTATTTAAATTAATTTAGATTACTTTGTACAAAGATTTAAGAAGTATTAAAATATTCACTTATTTTATATTATACAATGAATAATTTTTTTTTTTAGAGAATTTAATTTATATGCTAATGTTCGACCATGTCGTTCCTTAGAAGGTTACAAGACATTATATGACAATGTTGATGTTGTTACTATTAGAGAAAATACAGAGGGAGAATACTCTGGTATAGAACATGAAATTGTAGAAGGAGTTGTACAGTCAATTAAATTAATTACAGAGGAAGCTTCCAGTCGGGTAGCAGAATTTGCTTTTCAATATGCTCAAGATAATAATAGAAAAAAGGTTAATAATTTATTTATTTAAAAATAAGATTAAGTTATCTTATATAACTATTAATATATTTTATAGGTGACAGCTGTACACAAAGCAAATATAATGAGAATGTCAGATGGTTTATTTTTAAGATGCTGTAGAGAAGCTGCACAAAAATTTCAATCTATTAAATTTGAAGAAAGATATTTGGATACAGTGTGTTTAAATATGGTTCAAGATCCCAGTCAATATGATGTACTTGTAATGCCTAACTTATATGGTGATATCTTATCTGACATGTGTGCTGGACTTGTTGGAGGACTTGGACTTACACCAAGTGGAAATATTGGTTTGAATGGTGCACTGTTTGAATCTGTATGTTTTTAAAAAATTTTTTTATAAATATTTTTGCAAATGCAATAGTGTGTGATTTAATAATAATTTTATTTTAAAATAGGTGCACGGAACTGCTCCAGATATAGCAGGCCAAGATAAAGCAAATCCTACAGCATTATTACTTTCTGCTGTAATGATGCTTAAATATATGGGATTAAATAAACACGCAAAAATTATAGAAACTTGTGCTTATGAAACTATTAAAGAAGGTAAACATTTAACAGGAGATCTTGGTGGATCTGCAAAATGTAGCGAATATACTGATGAAATTTGCAAAAAAGTTTTAACATTAGCAAAATAGATGATGCAAAATTTATTGGGTATAAACTGCCAAATACTCGTAGAAATAACACATGTGAAGTAAAACGTTTTTAAACATGTTTATAATTATTATTTTCAAAATTAACTTCAATGGACTTCTTGGAAATATCTGCAATTTATTCAATTAAATTGCAGAGATTTTCAGAATGGATAAAAAATATTTTATTATTCATCTATTTACATTCATTTAGATAATTTTTTGTTGAGTACTTGAATTAGATTAATGTAAAATTTAAATTTATCTCCGTGGATTTATTAATGTGTAATAGCATTTAATATGATTTTATTGCCACGGAATACACGCAGTTTAGTCGCGTGTATTGACTGAATACATATACATGTATGTTTGTCATACTATTTTATTGTAAAAGGAGGATTCTAATAGAATCTGTAAAAAAATAGGCATGTAAATTAATTTAGATACAATGTATAATACTTTTAAATAAAGTTGTTAATGATGCGTGCCTCGCGGAAGAATTTAAAAAAAACAATTGCGCAGTATTACACATAAATAAAATATTATAAATTCTAATTATATTTTATTATTTAACCCAAAACTTTTTTAAAAAATCATTATAAATATAATATATTAGAATCAATAAAAATTTTTATGAAATTGTGGTTTATATATAGTTACGTAATTCCATCTAATTTTTAGCATACAAGTACTTGTGTATTTTTACTATTAATATAATTTTCTGAACACTGCAAGTTTTTCATTTCAAAATATTTGCATATTAGTTCATTTACAATATTTCTCAAACAAGTATTTATAAATATAAAATTGCTGCTGCTTTTTTCTTATAAACTATAAATGGAATAAATTTAACAACAAATTTTATTTATTCGTGGCACCATCTCGTGAATGGATACTGGAAGCTCCAACTTATTAATAGAAAAACAGAATATGCAAGGAGGTATTCGTGATAGAAAAGAAGAATATTGCTCGAGAAGGATAGAGAAAACATGCCACTAATTTCGATTATGCGGTTCCTGATATCTTCTACTATATACGAAATATAACATTGAAAATTAATTACTACTTTTTTTATTAAAGATTATTGCATTTTAGAAGCTCGTTTTTCAAAGCTAGAATTTCAAACAATTTTTTCATATATATTTTGTTGAGAAATTCTTTTCAATTAATTATTTATTAATAATTATCATAAAGAATGTCTCAATTGTAAAGAGAATATATAGAGACATAGAGAATAATTCGAGATGAGATATTACATAAAATTTTTCTATTTTTTAATATAAAAATAAAAACTGTTTACGATACATAGTGTATATTTATCTATACATATGTTTTAATAATTAAAAAAACTATCTCTAACTCTAATTATTATCCATATAAATATGAAAGTAATATGAGAATTTCTTAATTTCTATTTATTATATTACATTACATTCTTATATTCTAAGGAAGGAATTAATTGTAAAAATATAATTCTTGCGATATCAATATTACAAAGTTTTACTCTTTGTGATGTTATGTTGTAGTTTTCATT